ACTTTGTGGGCTGCCAGAAAGACAAACAAGAGCGTCCTATTGCAACTCAAGCCTGAATGATTAAAAAAAATATGAAGTTGAGGCTGTCCTACTTTGGGTCCATCATGAGAAGGCAGGATGCTCCGGAAAAAGACAGTAATGTTGGGAAAGGTTGAAAGCAGCAGGAAAAGAGGAAAACCGAACACGAGATGGATTGAGTCCCTCAAGGAAGCCACAAGTCTTGAGTTTGCAAAAGCCAAGCAAGGCTGTTGAGGACAGGAGATTTTGGAGGTGGCTCATTCGTAGGGTCGCTGTGAGTCGGAGGTGACTTGACAGCACATAAGAAGAAGTTAACACCAGGGTAAGTGACCTTATAGGATTCTGGCCATTGACTCTTCCTCCATGGTCCACTCTTCTTTTCTCTTCCTTTCAAAAGAGTGGCAACTCGACAGATTATTATTTTTTCACATCCACATCTAATAAGATAAATACATTAACCCTTCTGCCTTCGGAATTCAGATCTTCGCCGCAGACATTTGCATATTTAAATTGAAATATTTGGAGTGGTTGCTTTCTCGAGAGGCGTTTTTACAGTCAAGCCTGAACTTGTGCCTCGGCTGGAACATTCCATGAAGTATTTTTTCCACCCCATGTGTTGTGGTTTTTTCCTCCAAAAAGAGAGAGAAAGGTTTGAATAATGAAGACGTCGCTGAATGCAGGAAGATTTCCATCCGTTCTTCTCCGGCTTGGGTAATCACACCCCAGATATATGAGATTCCTGGGTAATAAATGACCATAAGGGCATTACATAAATCTCCTTGTGTTTGAAAAGGATAAATGTAAAGCAAACATCCCATAACTTAGACCTATCATTAGCTATAAGCAAGAAGAGAGAGAGATTGAGCATGCAGGATGCTGGTTTCCTCGACCTTTACAAAACAGAGCAAAGCGAAACAGGATCTGTGGCTTTTCAACCATGGGCCAAGCAAGCTCTTGGTAAAATGCAGGTCTTCGTGTCAGCTTCGACTGAGCTGCTTCAAAGAGTCTGGACCCATCAGGATTCGAATTGGGTGCCTCTGCATCTTTGTAGTAGTTGTGCATCTCTCAAGGGTCATGGGTCAAGCATGGTCTTGAATGAGCAATTAAGAGCTGTAAGCTTTCCAGAAGACCTGCTCCTGGCACAGAGGAAAAGTCCTCCTATGGGTTCATTGACATGACTTTTAAGAATGGAAAGCATACTTTCTGAGCTCCTGAATCACAGAATCATGGACCTATGAGGCCATCAAGTCCAACCCCCTGTTCGAGGCAGGAACCCAAATCAAAGCAGATCTGAAAGGGGATTGTCCAATTTTCTCTTGAATTCCTCCAGTGCAGGAGAGTTCACCACCTCCCACTGTCATTGGTTCTGTTGTCATACTGCTTTAAAAGTTAAGAAGTTTTTTCCCAATATTCATCCTAAATCTGGCTTCCTGGCGCTTGAGCCCATTCTTACGTGCCCTGTACTCCGGAGTGACTGAGACCAGATTCTGCCCCTTCTCTGTATATATTTCAAATATATTCCCATCTTTTGAGACTACTTCAGTATGACAAAACTCCTCCAAGCCTTCCAAAATCCACATGAGATCCCACACTTCCATCCAAAAAAAGCAAAAGGGAGAGAAGTCCCTTGTGCCACCATCTCTCTATAATTTCCACAACACATTTTTGGAGTCCTTTCCTTTGGAAGAGGAAAGCAACCATACGCAGCAAGCACAGAAGCCCTGGCCAATTGTTCACAAAGAAACAAATAACCCATCCGGTGCTTCAAAATGGCAATTGGTGCCAATTATGCAACAGTGCCAATTGTGCGTTTTTAAACAAAATTCAGCTCTTTTCCCAGAAATCTTCCATCTTACTAGTGAGGATCCGGCCAGTGAGGAGAAAATTGGAACAAGTCCCGGTCCTCGCTCACAAGAATAGTGATTGAAGTCTTCTAATACGGACTAATTCCCAGTGTGGTGTAGTGATGGATTATGGCTCTGGAGATCAGGGTTCGAATTCCCGCTCAGCCATGGAGACTGACTGGGGGAGCGGAAGTGGTACAACCACTCCTTAAATATCTCAATTACCTTGAAAACCCTATAAAGGTCACTATAGGTGGGGGTCCAACTTGACAGCACAGAACACACACAAACCCTATAAAGGTCACTATAGGTGCGGTCCAAATTGACAGCACAGAACACACACAACACTCCTGCTTGCATTTTCCGATTCCACTTGGGGGCCTCGGGAGGCAGACGGTCATTATCGGATTCCTGCATTCAAAAAGTTACTTTTCTATCCCTTTCGAGATGACGCTTGAAAGAACTGCGTAGACTTCATAGAGCGCAGCCCGTGCAGTTCTGAGCATATCTACTCAGAAAAACTCCCCATTAAGTTCAAAAGAAGAAGCAACCACTTTCTGTCTAAATGAGCCCTACCTCCCATCGTACATCGCCAACGGCTGTACGACACCTGGCTATATATCACAGCAATTTCCTCCGTAATATGTCCCCCTGTGACTGATTTCAAAGCCTAAAAAGAGTGTTTGATCTTTTGGTTCAATGATAAGCTGCAGAAGCAAGACCCATCCTGCCATCTTTCACGGTTGGGTATTCTTAGGACGAACCCGTCTCAATTTGGTCCCGCCCTGAACCACTAGGCAGCAGCGTTCTCCATCCCCAGCCAGCGTGTGTTCCATCTGGCTGGGGATGATGGGCGTTGTTCTTGAGCACTATGCTGGGTTAGCAGGAACTGTTGTGTTTCCTTTGGTCCATAGATAGAAGGAATCACAGAATGATTAACTTGGAAGGAGCCTATTTTTTAAAAAACCAACCAGGTTGGCCTATTTTTAGTGCAAGCCAGCTTTTTGACGAAATACTGAATCGTGGTCAACCCTTCCTGTTCATGGCAGCTACATGAATGTACAACGTTAATTTGTTCCAGCGAAATCACTGTAGAGAAAAAATGTTGTAAAGCGAAATTTAAAAACCTGCTGAAATGCATTAAAACCAGGTTAATGTGTTCCAATGGGCTAAAAACTCACCGTCCACTGAAGATCCTCCATACGGCGGCCATTTTCGGTGCCTGTATAGCGAGGAATCCATCCCTAAGCACAGCGGGGAGCCATTTTGAGCACCCGGTGGCCATTTTGAAAACCCGACGATCAGCTATTTTGATTGTCGTAATGCGAAGAATCGGTTCCCAAGGCAGGGAAGCAATCATCGCAAAGCAAAAAAATCCCATTTAGACCATCTTTTTGCGATCGCAATTGTGATCACAAAAACATCGTCGTGAAGCAGATTCGTAGTAATGCGGGGTAATCATTAAGCGGGTCATGACTGTATGTTGGAAACAGGATGGAATTTGTTCTGTGGAATGGATAAACAGATGGAAGGTGTTTTGAAGAACACCGGGTATGGGATCAACAGCATTTTAGAGTAGTGCTTCCCAACCTGGATCCCCAGAAATTCTTGGACTACAAATTCCAGAAATCCTGGCCAGCACAGCAAGTTCTGAAGGCTTCTGGGAGTTTAAGAATATCTGGGGACCCAAGGTTGGGAAACCACTGTTTGAAAGCATCACTGGCTTTCTGTTTTCATCAAGACTCAAGAAACAGAAGCTCCCTCTGGTCCCACATGGTCCATAAACCTCCCAATAAACAGAAGCTAAGAGTTTGGAATCAGCTTCTAAGACCACCATAAATGAAATGGAAGAGTGTTATCTACACACCATTGTTGAAGGAGACTGATCCCACCTTAACTATCACAGATCCATCCCATGGAGCACTGGAAGTTATAGTTTTTGGAGCTACTGAAGATTCTTTGCTAGGGAGCGCCAGTGCTTTCCCTTGAATTACAGTAGAGACAGCTAAGGAATTATCCAAACTAGAAGTCCCAGAATTCCACAAGGTAGAACAATTGCACTTAAATGTGGCATCAACGAGCTATAATTATAGCGTAGACCAGTGGTTCCCAACCTTGGGTCCCCAGATGTTCTGGGACTAAAACTCCCAGAAGCCTTCTCCACTAGCTGTGCTGGCCAGGATTTCTGGGAGTTGTAGTTAACAAACATGGTAAATATTGCTGTGTCAAGCAGATTTCCTGTGCTGAATGCTCAACAGCACAACTGCATCATGTAGAAAGGTTTCAGCAGCCATGATTACGACTAGCCGCTCCACAAACAGGTGTCACGCAGATTATCTCATCAACTAATCCAAAGCTGCTTCTAGGATGATTGCTTTTGTTCTCCTTTCTATCCCACATAATTTCCAGCGGCTGGAGAGAAACCATAGCACTGTTCCCTAGTGCTGGACATGATACGACAGGAATCTCACTGAGCAGGATTAAGGACATCCTCCCCTTTCATGGGGCAACTATCTTGGCAAGGCTTCCCAAGTACATGAGCAAACATCTCTTTTCTCTTTGAACACCCATGACAGCGGGGCAAAGAAATCTGTGTATATCAGAAACTGCCCCGTGAACACGCTGGGTTCAAGGTTATTGCAGATCTTGACAAAGAGTTCCTTGACCTATGCCTTTCTACCCTGATGGGCTATGTAGTTCACCCTTGATCATACCATAAATAGCCCCTAGCTATTAAAAAAAAAACTAGGAATGAGAGAAAAGTGACTATGTCTAGTATGTTTTTCAACATAAACTCTGAGCTGCGGGGTAGAGAATTTGATTTCCCCCCAATATACGACAGCCATCACAAAAGTAGTTTAGGTAAACCATCCACTGGTGGATGTTGATGATTCCTATTTTGTGAGCTCAAAGCATACTTCCGTCTGGGTTTTAGACTGAACTTTACAGAGCAATGCATGGTGATGGAGCAGTTTTCAGTTCAGCCCCCCCGGGTAGCTTCTGTAAAGTTCTGACTACATCCTGGAGCAAATTCACGAAATGAAGACGGCTGGATCTGCACGAATCATCAGCCAGTTATGTTGCTCAACACTCCACCACCAAGGACAAGAAAGAAAAAAACATGCAACATAATTGTACCTTAGGATGAACTGATCCACTGTGACGTTGTTAGTGACTGTCACTGAAGCGGTCACCACGTCTCCTTGTTTGACGGGCTTCGACGGCAGCCAGATGACCACGTTGCTGTCCAACCATAACTCTGTAAGTTGAGAGGTCTCTGGGGTCCGGTGGAGACTAATGGAACCGATCCTTTGTAAGGGGGAAATGGTTTCCCCCGCCCCTTCTTTCCCAGGACGAATGGCATTCCCCTTCCGTATATCTTCAGTGCTACACTCCCCTTTCTCATCTCCAGCCTGGATGGTGTAGTAAAGTTCTACAGAACTTCCTTCGGATTGATTGGCGGCTTTCTTACGGCCGGTGGCCACGGATGGTGGGTTGAACCAGGTCGGTTGAAGGTCCAAGTCAGCCACGCACAACCCAAGATCGCCCTTCAGTCTACAGCTGCCCCGAACCTCACGCGTTTCCCGAAAAGCAAAAACCCTCATGCACGGCAACTGTTCCGTTGTGCTGTAGTCATCCCAATCTCTTCCCACGATGTAAAAAAGGACCTGGACTTTGGGTCGTGTCAAGTAGACTTTCTCACTCATGATGTAGGCTTTCAACTTCCAGTTGAATGTAAACTTACTGGTCGGGCCAAAGATGTTTGAGGTCAAGAGGTGGTCCTGGGGCACAGTTTGTTCCACCGAGAAGGGCCCATAGCTAGCGTTGATGATAGGTGCCTTCCTGGCTTTGTAGGTAAAGAAGGTCTCTATCCGAGACTGCAAACTCGAGTTCCTCATGAATTCCTGGTTGGCTTCTTTGAGGAAAAAGGAAGTCTCGGCGCTGGAGATCTGATACCTTACAGGTAGATATGTCGGCAGAGACGAAAACTTGGGTAGGTTCTCCAGAGCGCCACGGCCCATGGTCCCTGTTAGCAAGGAAGAAGAAGAGGCAAAATTAAAAAAGGTGGACCAGGACAGCAATAATGTCTGGTGAGCAATCATCAATACAGTGGTGCCCCGCATAGCGACAATAAACCGTTCCGGATAAATCGTCACTATTCGGAATCATCGCTATATGGGGCAAAAAAAATGCAATGCGGATTCGTCGTTAAACGGGGCGCTCGTTATGCGAGGCACCACTGTATCATCATAAAACTGCAGAATTGGAAGGGTCCCTATGGGTCATCCAGTCCAGCCCCGGTCAAGAAGGCCCAGCCGGGAATCAAACTCCCAACCTTTAGCCCCACGGTCAGAGACCTAAACTACTGAGCTATTACACTCCAAAAAATCAGTTTTCATAGCTACAAAGCTACGTTTCTAGCTGTGATGCTCAACCCCAAGATGGAGGCAGATTATTATTTTTAAAAAATGAAGGTTTAGATGCCTCAATCACTCAGCTATCCAGCAGTTTGCAATTCCACTTTATTGCTTCTTTGTTTTAAAGTCAATCCGTGTCATCGACTTTGTGTATATTGAAGCATCGCACATTTTCAGAAATTAACGAAAAGCACCTGTTTTTTTTTAGCTCGAGGGTAAAAGACTATTTTATTCTGTAAAATAAAGCGCCACCATTTTGATTGACTGTTTTTCTCATGATTCATAGCACGGAAGATGACTAACCTAGCGGAGTGTTCTTTATTTATTTTAAATATTTATGCATCACCTTAAAGGGCTCTCAAGCTCTTCCACAACAGTCTGCGCTTTTACAATTCGCTCTAAAAACCCACAAATAGATAAGCATTAAAATAAGACAAAATTATAACAAACCATTCCAAAATGCTGTCATCGAAACGAACAATAAGATAATAACCACAGAAATGATATTCAGTTTGGATTATTTTTCCCCCCAGATCCGTTGTAAAAAGCCTGAATCAATTTCAAATTGATCAGAAGTAGATATAAACAAGTAAATCGCTGCTCAGGGACGCCTTACAGATTTCAAAAACCCTACTAGAAATGTCTTAAATTGGAAGCCAATTTCATAATTCACAACTCTCTCTCACACACACAGACACACACACACAGACACACACACACAGACACACACACACACACACACACAAACACACACAAAAACACACACACACTTTTTATTTTCTTCCTGTCCCAACTTCTTCCTGTTTGAGGGAACCCAAAGTGGCTTACAAAATGATCGGAGGGACTACAAATTTGTCAATTAAAACTTTTCCAATCCTATAAAATGTATAGCATTAAAAGACCATTCCGCTGAAACGAACCTAAAAATCGAAACACCGAGAAGAAAAGACGCACATATTTTATTGAAAAAACAACAAAAGTCAGTATCTATGCATTTAAAAAAAAACTTGGCATGCCAATTTGGTCATCTAACTAGCTGTGATCCACAGTCTGGTTGCAGCATTTTGAACCAGAGGAATGAGCCAAACAGTCTTCAAGGGTAGCTCCATGTAGAATATGTTGCAGTAGTCTAAACAGACTTTAACTGAGGCATCATAGACAGATCAAACATCTCATCATATAGGTGCAGCTGGCGCATTTAGGTTTAACCACACAAACACCCTCCTGGTTAATACCAAATCCTGGACATGTAGGTTCAGGGATGAAGCTGGGAAAACACGCAAGGAAATGTGAGATTTTAGGGGAGTGTGTTTGTAGCTTAATGGGGTACCCAGTGAGGTGTAGTGTATAAAGACTACAGCTCAGGAAACCTGGGTTCGATTCCCTGGCTCTGCCATGCAAATGTTCTGGGGTTTGGGGACTGGGAAAACCACTCTTTAAATATCTCACGTTTTGAAAGCCCTATTAAGGTTGTTATCAGTCAATGCTGATTTGATTACAGTCAACAACAGCATTTCTAGTCTGACCCTTAGCTTTTGTCTTGAAAGCCCTATTAAGGTTATCAGTCAATGCTGATTTGATGACAGTCAACGACAGCATTTCTAGTCTGACCCTTAGCTTTTCTTAGGCATCCTTCAGTCTCGAAAGATCATAGTAACGCGCTCTGTATGAGTGTCATCTCCAGAGCACGATGCCTGGGTAGAATAATATGGAGGATAGGCTGTTACCCAAGCAACAAATCCCCCCTCTCCACATCACTGAAATAGTCCAATGGAAAGGCAAGAGCCTATACAATTGATTCCAGATAACCTAAAATGTCTCCTGGTCACTGGGGTTCAAACTTGGACCAGCTGTTCACTCCTGGGAGGAGCAGCTTTGAGAAACTGAATGGAACAGCAGCTCAGTGGTTGAGGCTTCTAAGCCAGAGGTTGTGAGTTCGATTTCCCACTGCGGAGCCAGAGGCTGTGCGTTCGATTCCCCACTGCGTCTCCTTGATAGGGGCAGAATTGGATGAGCGATAGCTTCCCTCCCAGCTCTGCGGTTTTAAGGGGATCTGGTCAACCGTACGTACAAGGTTGGCAGATCAGAAGGATTTAACACCTCCAGTGACACAACCGCTATCAACAAAACGTTGGTGCCATCCAACGACCCACCAGCTGCCTTTCTGGGAGCAGGGGACCGGCTGGGATCCTTGCATGTGGAAAGCAATAAAGAGGGAGCTCTCCTCCTCCTTCCCCCCCCTTTCCTGATGATGCATGTCGGTGGGAAGGAAAGCGCAACCAGAACCGCAGCATCGGAACAGTAAATTAAGATGATGCACCTTCATATTTAATTCAGATACGAGCGTCGGAGGGCGGAATTGGCTTCCTCCCGAATGAGCAAAACTGCCATTAAAAGCGAGCTAATGTAAGGGAGAGAAAAGCCATAATAACATAAAAAGAAAAGAAAACACACAGAGTGCAAGTAGCCGGCAATAAAAATCCTATTGAGAATTAAATGATCGGGATGCGTTCTTTTCTTCACTGCAACCCCTAGCTTTGCCATCCCGGGCTCAGATCAGCCAGCGCTGTGCTCTGAAAAGAACGCTGGTTTAGGATTTGAGATACGGAGCCGACACAGCTCGACTGCAGAATGAGTATCTTTCATGCTGGAAATTCTGGTTTCGGGAGGAGAACAGGCAGCTTGGGGGAGCTTGCTGAAATTTTTCAACAAGTTGTGTGGCCCATGGAGAATGACCCCAAACCCATCTCAATCCCCTAAATCTCAAGGACTTGCTCAGTTGTTAAGATCCTCAGGAGAGGCCTTTCTCTCAGTCCCATCACTTCCACAGGTGGAGACATAGGTCAGAGCCTTCTCTGTGGCTGCTCCTTTAGACTCTGGAACTCCCTCCCACTGGAGGCCAGCCTGGCTTTATCTTTGCTGTCCTTCCACAAGCAAGCAAAGATCTTTCTCTTGGAGCTAACAGCCTGCCAGAGGAGGTGAGGCTGGCAACCCCCAAACGCCAAGAAACAAAGGGGCAGGAACCACTGCGAAGCAAAGAGAAGGTGAGGAGGAGGTGAGCCTGGCAACCCTCAAATGCCAAGAAACAAAGGGGCAGGAACCACTGCTTTGGAGGTCCATGTTCATCTCTACTCACTGTTATTAAATGGGCAATATTTAATATTGTCTTTTAAGGATGCGAGCCACCTTAGATCATTTAAAGGAGAAAGGCGGGATAAGATAATTTAATTAAATGAGTAAACTTTGCTGTTTAGTGTCTGGATCTCCAGTATGGACAGAGAGATCCTGAAGAGCCATTGCCAACCAGGGGCCATATTTTCTTTGGCCTCCTGGAAAAAACAAACAAACAAAAACCACTTATGACTTTTTAAACAGTTTGCAGGATGAATTCCGTGAGCCAAAAATGTTTTTGCAAAAACGTGTAAAAACACAAAGGGAGGGAGGGAGGGGAGGGATGAGGACAATTACTGTGGTGGCTGCAGCTTCAGTGCCGTTCTCATGGACATTTAGGTAAGCTTTGTGTATCGCCTGCAAGGAAAGGAAGCAAGTATTATCATAGGACAGCAACCTGGCTTTTATATATTACAAGTGAGATCTGATCTACATACCCAGCCTGGAGTAAAGCAGAACAAAGTGTGCTGCGTATATCCCACCCCTTAGTGCTTAAAAGCATTATCTGAATAATTTAATTATGCAGGCTACACATTCCCTGTATAATTATATAGTGGATAGAGTGATGGGTCCTAATCCCCACTCAGCCATGGGAACTGACTGGGGATATGGAATTGTTAAAACCACTCCTTAAATATCTCACTTTCCTGGAAAGCCCTATTATGTCTGTTCCAAATTGATGACACAGAACGACAACATAAGAGACCTGGTCTTATCTAACAAGCCAGGAGGAAATGACTTTGGAAATGTTTCTATCTCACCTGCAACAACAGAAATATGACTGAGTAGACGCTGTCTAGGGGGGGCAGGGTATAAATCGAATGAATAAAAATAAATAAATAAAATAAGTGAAAGAATTTCATTACTGCCAAAATCCAGCCAAGATCCATCGGATCCTTGGAATAGCCTCGGCTGCCCCAGGGGACACTCCAAAACCACAGGGCAGCTTCATTGAGAGTCCCAAATCCCAATATTGGTCGTGGCAGCTGATCCAACCCTTTTCAGCAAAGGGCTTGGGCACGGACCCTCCAGAGGTCAGAGACGAGGCATCAAAGGAGAGGCCGGCCAGAGTCGGGAAGTCTGGGCTTCCCGGAGACCTTTTCTTTTTCTAATGAAAACCCCTCCTGGATGAGAAGTCTTTCAACCGACCCGACCACTGGGCCCCTGTGGAGTGAAAGTGACAACTCGAGTCAGAAGAGGGCCCATCCCATTCATCTCGGGGGGGCCCTTCTCCTCGGCAGGGAAGCGCTTCCATTCATGCCCGAAACAATGAGCAGAGGGATCAGCGGTCACCGATCTGAAGATGCTTTAGCGCCAAGCCATGGGATGTTCTTTTTGCTAGAAGAGACGGGAAAACTCTACCCCGAGGAAGCACGAATCAACCATCAAAACGCATCAGGGCTGAGTAGGAAATGGGGTCCTCTTTAAGATGT